TTTTTTTTTTTTTTTTTTTTTTTTTTTTTTTTTTTTTTTTTTTTTTTTTTTTTTTTTTTTTTTTTTTTTTTGTAGATTTTCACTTGTGCTAATAGCTTTATGCACTATTCCCAAAGGATAAACTTCACCTTTTTAGGGTGATTTCTTTTTCATATTGTCTTTGCTAGTGTGCGGTTTACTACTACTTTTTCCCCTATGTCCATCATTTTGTAAGGAAGAGACCGTTAATGCTAGGAAGATATGTCAATGAGTTTGCTTCTTTAGACAATCCAACTGGGGCAAGATCAAGACTTAATTCGGCCCATTATGTAGCTTTGTTATCCTTTAGTTCCTTCCAAGCTTCAAGTCCCAAAAATGGTTGACATCATTCGATGTTTCTTTGATCCTGGCCGTTTTGCTATGTTCCGAGAAACTTTCAAAGAATTTTACCTTCTCAATAACATTTTTACAGGGGAGACACCTAACAAATTAGATAAGAGAATTGTATCTTCTGCAAACTGAAGGTGGTTGATGCTTAAGCCTTCATTACCAACCTGAAAAACCTTCATCTGCCCTTTATATTCAGCCTTGGTGAGTAGAAGCAATCCATCACCATTATGAAAAGAAAAGTGGATAGTGGATCCCCTTGTCAAAGACCGAGGCATGGATCTTCCCTCTCAACCTTCCATTGACAATGATGGAGAAATTTGTAATGAAATGCAGCCAATTATCCATCCCCGCCATTTTGAACCAAAGCCTTCTGCTACAAGAATGTTTTCAAGGAATATCCAATAGACATTGTCAAAGGCCTTTTTGTTTCTTTCTTTTCCATTCATCTAAAAGTTCATTTGTCATGAAGGATGCATCGAGGATCTATCATCCCTTTACAAGAGCTATTTACTGCCTAGTACTCGTGAAAGAGAGGACCCTTTTAAGGTTTGTTTATAGCACCCTTGCTATGATTTTGTATAGTCCATTCATAAGACTTATGTGGCGAAAGTCAGCAACAGCGTGACATCTATTTTTTTTAGATCAAACAGATGTATGCTTCATTTAGGTTGTCATTGGTAACTCTATTCCTAAAAAATGTTGGAAGACTCTCACGATATCAGCTCTCGAAGTGTTCCAACATTTTTTAAAAAAAACTGAAGAGCAATGCTCTATCATAAGCTACAACGAAAAACACGAAAGGAGGACATTTGGCTTAGGGTTGGCTTGTTTAGCTAGGGGTAAAAAAGTCAAGCTTGCATTTATACACAAACAACCCAACAAAAGCTCTTGATATGATAAAGACCATGGTTCTAACGTAGATTAATCAGTTGCGACTGAGGAATACAGATTAAACTCGTAACCCTTAACCAAGTTGAATATTTTATGAAGCCCACGTATTCGGTGCATGCCACAGTCCATAATGTGAATTGATCTCGCAGTATCTTCGTTTAATTATCAGTAGAAAAGGTGAAATATGAATAAGATGCCTAGCTATGGTTCTGATACCAAGTATTAGAGGTACAAATCGAGCAATTGAGACCATAAAAGGAATCATGGATGCCTGTAGCAGTGTGATGGTGAACAAAAATATGACCAGGACAACTTCAGAGTAGGAATAAAAATAAGATCAATAAGGGTGCCTTACGATTGGCTGCTTGGTGCTTCACCAATGCAGACGGATTCATCAGCCAATTTTACATGGAGTGCGTCCTTGTCAATGGTTGAGTACACAGCCACACAAGGTATTCCCAATTCATGAGCAGTTCTAATAATACGAACAGCAATTTCTCCTCTATTAGCCACCAGAATTTTATCAGCACGGCACATAACTTGAAGGCTTCCCTTATTCTTCCACGATTTACGACTATATTGCACACCATTAGCTCCCTGTCTAGGAAAGCTGACTTTCTTCGCACCCATGAAGGAACAGTGCGAGCTCCTCAATCCATTGGTAGTCCCGGCAAATGAACCCTTCATGTAAAAACAATGAAAACAAAAAACATCTCAAAGTCATACGAAATGGACAAAGAAATAGGCGAAATCATGCGAATGTAAGTGCGAATCAGGATTGGAAGACGAGGGAGAAAGACACAGACCGTGAGAAAGGGAGCACGAGCGGACTTGCAGAGAGGCATTGCGGCGTCCATGGATGAGAATGAGAGGGAAAGCGAGTAAAATGAGAGGAGAATATAAAGGGAAGCGAAGAATGGGGAGATTTGAGATTTGAGATTTTGAGGGAAAGAGGAGAAGGCAGTGAGTAAAGAGGTGTCGATGAAAACAAGAGATATCTGATGGGAACCTCCGCCCCCACCTAATACTTAACTAAATTCATGTGAACCGGTTCAAGATTAAACTTCAAACCAACACATCTCCTTTGGTTTATAGACAAAAAAAAAAATATATATATATATATATATATGCGCATATAGTTCTTGATAAGATAAGGAATCAATACAAGGGGAATAAGATTCGGATTACCTTGTCGATCGAATATCTCAAGCAAAGAACACTTTGTTTGAGATTCGAATCACTCCAGAAGCAAGATCGATCATGTCTAGCTTCAATGATTCTTGTTGATCAAATATCTCAACGCAAGAACACTTATTTGAGATTCGAATCACTCCACAAGCAAGATTGATCATGTCGAGCTTGAATGATTCTACATGCAACCTAAACTACATAGAGTTGCAAAGAAATTTAGCCATTGGCTAAAGAAAAGCACAAATGCTTCTTTTACTATATCTTCTAAGTCTTACTTACAAATACAACAAACATGGCTTTATATAGCCTCAAAATGAAAATTACAAAAGTTGTAACATTCACACTTTATGGCCATAATTAGCCATTATGTAAATGTAACCGAAATTAAATAAAAAGTCTTAAAATACAATAACTCTAAATTACTCTAAATTATAACCCACCCAAAATTTACAACAATCAAACTTTATTCTTCTTCAATGTAGCATGAATTGAAACATCTTTTGATAATTTTGACAACCTTTTCTTCACATCTTCATTGAAGCATATTGTATGATTGATGTCTCTTGGTTCATATCATTCTCCACTTCTTCAAGAGGATTCGTCCTCGAATCTATTTGTGAAACTTTGCTGCAAAAAATAAGTTATGGAAATACAAAGGACCTCACAACACTCTCTCACGTGTATACACTCAAGGAATTTTAGGCCACTCTGTTTGCACTCATTTACACAAATGAAGCTCTCATTCTCACCTCTCAAAATTTTAAATAGAGCAAAGATTGAATTTTGAACTTTGGGTCGATTAAAAACTAAAAAGATGAAAATAAATAAAAATTAAATTGAGAAGAAACGCAAAGGAAACATATATCCGATCTTGAGCCTGAAGCTCTGATACCAAATGATAAGATAAGGAATCAATACAAGGGGAATAAGATTCGGATTACCTTGTCGATCGAATATCTCAAGCAAAGAACACTTTGTTTGAGATTCGAATCACTCCAGAAGCAAGATCGATCATGTCTAGCTTCAATGATTCTTGTTGATCAAATATCTCAACGCAAGAACACTTATTTGAGATTCGAATCACTCCACAAGCAAGATTGATCATGTCGAGCTTGAATGATTCTACATGCAACCTAAACTACATAGAGTTGCAAAGAAATTTAGCCATTGGCTAAAGAAAAGCACAAATGCTTCTGCAACCTAAACTACATAGAGTTGCAAAGAAATTTAGCCATTGGCTAAAGAAAAGCACAAATGCTTCTGCAACCTAAACTACATAGAGTTGCAAAGAAATTTAGCCATTGGCTAAAGAAAAGCACAAATGCTTCTTTTACCTAAACTACATAGAGTTGCAAAGAAATTTAGCCATTGGCTAAAGAAAAGCACAAATGCTTCTTTTACTATATCTACATAGAGTTGCAAAGAAATTTAGCCATTGGCTAAAGAAAAGCACAAATGCTTCTTTTACTATATCTTCTAAGTCTTTTTACAAATACAACATAGATGGCTTTATATAGCCTCAAAATGAAACTATTAAAGGCATTCCAGAAGTTGTAACATTCACACTTTATGGCCATAATTAGCCATTATGTAAATGTAACCGAAATTAAATAAAAAGTCTTAATTACTCTAAATTATAACCCACCCAAAATTTACAACAATCAAACTTTATTCTTCTTCAATGTAGCATGAATTGAAACATCTTTTGATAATTTTGACAACCTTTTCTTCACATCTTCATTGAAGCATATTGTATGATTGATGTCTCTTGGTTTATATCAGTTCTCTTGTGGGAGCTCCCGCCCGAGAATGAACATAGTATCTCATTTTGCAAAATGGGTCTTTTGTGCATAATTCCCGGTTGCATTTGTCCGAAGTGTTGCGCCAAATAGGGGATAATCCAACGCCAGAGGAAGGCATTTTGTATTGAATCGAAACTGGCAAACTGCACAGGAGGACACATGGGATACTTCCGATTAGGGGCTATCCCTTCTTTCTTTGTGAGGTGGGCTTCCTATCCCTAATCTTTCCGATTTTTTGTTTCCTCGTGCCTGGAAAGGCTTTCGGTGGTGCGTATATGAGGGTTTCCCTCGCTGTTTCTAATGTAACTATTCCTAATAGTAAAATGTAACCAATCCTTGTATAATTGTTCCTAGTGTAATGGGTTTAAGTGTAAGAAAGTTTTAGGGGTCGTTTCCCTCAATAGAATGTCTTGATTGGGGGCATCCAACATAATTGATTTTAATTAGAAATGTCTCCTAGTGGATATAGTTGATTTGTTAACTATTCATTTTCTTATTTCCATCTGAATGATAATTATCTTCGCAGTTCGATATGGGTTTTTACAAGTCAAATGAACATCTCTAATATAGTACTACAAAAATGTTTTAAATTTTTGAGATATAAATTTATTTTTATTTGTTTATTTTTTTTTTAAAGCATTTAAATTTTACTATTAGGAATAGTTACATTACAAGTTAAATGAACCTCTCTAATAACATGTAGCTTGAGTATTAACTTGAGTATTATAAGAAATAATCAACAAGTGACCCCACACAGAAAATCGTGGAGGGACCTATCATTTCATAAAAATCTTTTCATCGTCTTGAACTTTGCTTTCCCGTCCGGGCTAAAATTGGATATGCAATAGTTCTCTATACATAACCCACATTCGTGCACATAGACAACCGAGGCAAACGTATACATACATTTACCCCTAGCCTTTAGCTAGTGCATACTCACATTGTTAGAGTCACGAAGGAAAATGAGGTAATGTAGTGTTGTGGTGTATATAATACCATATCATAACATCGTGGTGAACATAAATGTCATAAGGTACATATTCGTACTAATCATAATGGAGAAATATCTTGATGCATATGACATACAAAAAATGCATGAGGTCCATGTAACTTCAAATCATATACCATGCAGATCGTACATTCGTTCATTCATAAACATTTCATGATACGTTCTTGACATATCATCATTTCACAATCTCGAAAACAAACATTCTAACATGGTGTGTGCATATCATAGTATAATATAAGTCATTAATACATCCTCACGTAGTTTTGGCATAACATAACATAAGCCATAACATTACGTAACATAATTCACGTCTTAAGAGTCGTAAAATACGCATATGGAGGAGCCACAAATTGAGCTTTTGACTAACCTCGTCGATTGGAACAAAAGAGTTTGAAAAAAAACTGATGCAGTCAAGCCAGCTAATCCATTTGCTATCGTCGCCTATGTGGGTTTAGAAAATTTCAATGGCTCAACCATTTTAAATATTATGTAACAGCTCAAGTCCATCGTTAATATATTTTTAAGAGCTCAAGCTCAACACTAACAGACATTGTCTGCTTTGGCCCGTTACGTATTGCCGTTAGCCTCACGATTTTAAAACACGTCTGCTAGGGAGAGGTTTCCAGACCCTTATAATGAATGCTTCTTTCTTCTCTCCGACCAGTGTGAGATCTCACATTTCATCTCCTTGGGGGCCCAATGTTCTCACTGACACACTGCCCGGTGTCTAGCTTTGATACCATTATTATGAGATCTCACATTGATTAGAGAGGAAAACGAAGCATTCCTTATAAGGGTGTGGAAATCTCTCCCTAACAAACGCGTTTTAAAACCTCTCCTTGTTTTTACAATAGAAACAAGGTATAGTGCAACTGTAATCCTAGTATAGAGATAAGCTCCTATGCCATAAAGTTTTTCTTTATCAAGCTTGTCCCATATAATCTCGGTCTGACCAAACAACTGAAATAAAAAAAAAATAATCCGAGAACTAACCATCCTATAGGTGACATAAGGATAAAAAGAGCGTGTCTATGGAAGAGGAAAAGGGATAGTACTTGCATCCCATTGGGTGTGTGGAAGTTGAACAACAATGCTACCTATGCCCAAGAATGATGAACCATATGACTTGGCTCGATCTAATCCTCGAGTTAAATGCTCATACGACACAAACAACTAGAGGATCATGCATTATAAATGGTCCGAAATCAATATAAATTGGAACTTTATTCTGTGAATTATACTTCTTTGAAAACTAGTGCATTGGTGGGAACTTGGTTTTACAAGTTTATTAATAAAAAATTTATTAATTCCATACAAATGCATAATAAACAAAGGTAAATGGGAAGGTATTATTTAAAGTTGGTTAAGTCCGTTTTTTGAGGCTTCGCATCTGCCACGTGCCAAAAGGAGAAAGGGAGCTGGTGAGTGTAGTAAATGAATGGCGTGTGAGATTAGCTTTGCTCAGACAGATACTTTAGAGTCTATAGAGAGAGTAATCAAAAAAAGAAAAAAAAAGAAAAAAAAGAAAAAAAGCGTTTTGGACAGCGTAGATCCATGGTGTTGGCGGTGCAGTTGCTTTCCTGTATAAGCCTTTTCTTTTGCTGAAACGCCCATTCTCTCACCTAAGGACAGAGAGACAGACACGCTGATTTCTAGAGAGAGAAAGAGATTCTTCTCATTTCTTCTGTTCAACTTCAATCAACAAGGCTACCCATTATTTGTTTCTTTCTTCATTATCCTTTCATTACTCTTAATCATTCATCATTACGCTAACCAGAGTGGATTCAAGCCTTCTTTTACCCTTTTTGGCCCATCCCCAATTCTTCTTTCTTCCTCAAATGCTGATGCTCTTTTAGGGTTTTCCATTTCTGTTCTTTTCTGTAATTTGGTAAGCTTAACCCCCTCTTCTTGCTTGTCTGGGTATCGAGATCTGTGTTGAACTCCTTTCGTTTTGATTTAGTTTAATCTCTTCTTTGATTCGTATGGCTTTGTACTAGCTCGATTTCGAATTCAGTAC